TATATATATATATATATATATATATATATATATATATATATATATTTATCAGTGGCGGATTGAGATTTAGTGTCGCGGGGGGGCCAAGTCAATAAATAGGGGCGACCGGGTTTGTCTTCAGTAATTTGATCTTATAATTTTTTTTTTTTTTATTGTTTTAGGGGGCGCCGTTAGACCGTTCTAGGGGGGCGTGGGGACGGCTCGCCTCCTTCCCTACGCCCTATACTAAATCCGCCACTGATATATATATATATATATATATATATATATATATATATATATATATATATATATATATATATATATATATATACACATATAAACTTAGTTTTGCAAATTTAGGTCAGCATTGTCCTAATATACTCTGCACTCTTAAAGTTTTAAAATGCTAATTAATACCCAGACAGTTTCCAGAAAAAACTCTCTGAATATAAGTTGTTTTCACCTCAGTCAACACCCCCTTATATACATTTATATACATATACAAGTCAACACATTTATATACATATACAAGTCAACACCTTGCTTGTTTTGTTTAAGTTTTAATTGCAATTTTGGAAAAAAAAAATGGAGATTTTACACCCGGTAGCTAGAGGCCTAGATAAATTTGTAGCCTGCTCATACACCAAGATTTGGGGCTATGTAATTATCTATATTATTGTAAGTATGTAATTATGCTATGTAGAATTGTTTAATTTTCATATTTTTTTCTTCTTTAAAATACTATATTGAAGCCTTTTATAATAATACAACCTATTGTAAATATCTTAAAAGTTTTATGGCTAAATCAATTCACACAATATTAACCTTACATCACATAAGTCACTATACTTATATATTTGGAGAAATCTATTACACAAACAAAAATTTAACAACTAAAATTATATATTTACTTCCAATTTTTCAAGAATTTTTTTAGCATTTTTTTTGAGAAATGTATTATTCAATAAAATAATATGTTTCAGCGCATTGTAACTTTGAACAACTTGACATGGGTATGTCTCTATTAAAAAAATGGTCAAACTCATTAATTTTACACAACTGGTTAGTGAAGGAGAACTAAAATGGACAAGCATGCTATTAAAATCATTCTGTGAAATATTTGGTTTTTCACGAAGAAGACAATCAAATAATGAAATATGAGCAGAATTAAAGTTAGGATTCGCACTCAACTTCATAACATTTTTCAGAACTATTTCTATTTTTGGAACATCAAAATATTGATCATAGATTAGCTTTCGAAAAATATCTTCATGACAATTGGAAAAATCTTGGTTAAGGATAACAGCACAAAAAAATTCCTCAAGAAGAAATTTTAGATTGTTATTAAACAAATCCAAAATAATATTATACATTGTTCTAGATATAAACTGATGTGAATGAATTACCCTTACTGTAATTAAATAATGCAAAATTTTATTTGTATTGGGCAGTTTCATTGCAAAAATACTATTAATAAAATCTGCTATGTGATCCTCATTAACGCCTGCTAAATGTTTGTATATGTCTTCGAACTGTTTCTGTTGGTTTTTGTTATCCCTAAATGTTATAATTATATCATATAAATCAACACCTAACTTTTCTTCTTTTAAAAATAGCGATTTACTTATTTCGTCTATGTGATCGTCTTTTTTTATATTACTTTCAGGACTTTTAGCATTCTCCTTTGACTCATTTATTTTACTTGAATCATTATTGCACATTAAGATAAAATCACTTTCATTATCACTGTCTATTTCAATAACTTCAAATAACTTGTTGTCATTATCCATTATCCATCCAAAACTATCTCGTTTTATGGATTTTATATTTTTCAAAGATATTATTGAAGCTTTGTTCATATCAGAATTACTATTTAGCAAAAATATTCCCCATTGATCTAGCTTTGTTAGATTATTTCGTAAAAAAAGTAACATTTTTTCAGCATAAATAGTTTGTACTAAACTGTAAAACATGACTAAGTGGTGCTGTATTCTTCTTTGCAAACAAAAAAAAAGAGGATTGTTATTTTCTTCACAAAGTGGTTTCATAAGAAGAGTTGTCAATATGTGCAATTGCAAAGGATCTCCACCAAAATTTTCATAAGCTAATTTGATTCTTTCAAACAAAAAATTTTCTGCAAAAAGTTCTTTTAAAATTCTTTTAAAACTTGAGTGAAAATGTTTAAAAAAAAGATCTTTTTGAAATTCCACCATTTTTTATACTTCATTTGTTTGCAGTCTTTCAAAAATGCTCACAAGTATTAGACAGCGAATAAAGCGAATCCTCAAAAAATGTACAAATTACAAACCTAAAAATATATACAATATTTATATTTGCAAAGTCAAATACTCAAAATGAAATGGCTATGGAAAATTTCATTTTTGCAGCTATAACAAATTCAAAAATCCAAATAACATAAAGATATATCGAACATAAAAATAGAATATCATAAGATTTGTTTTACTTCAACACATTTAAAAAAATATTAAAAAAATATTTTTCACTTTTTTTTTTTTTTTACTAATTCACTCCCAAAAAGGGTGCAAAGCAATAACTATTAAGGTAGGAATGACTAAAAACACATAATATTGATAAATAGCAAAGAAATATAGGACTTGAAAAATTGGTTAAATGAGTTGGTAAAACATTAAATGGGAGAGAGTTCCACAGTATTAACGCGTAAAAAAATATTTAAAAAGATGAATAAATGTTTTTAAAGCATGAAAGGTCTGATACAGTAAAAATATGCAATTTGTCTAAATGACAAGTAAGTGAAAATGAGTTTTGATTGATGGAACTGGAGATGATAGCTTGTTCGAGCAGCGAAAATGATAATATTTGTAGAAAAGATACAAAGATGTGACCTAATGACAATGAGAGAGTGGCTTAAGCTTGGAAGATAAAACAGATCCAACTAAATTTACAATGCATTTTTGGATCTCCTTAAAGAAGCATCATTTAAAGAACCAGTCTTTAGGCTGGATATTTTAATAAATATTAAATATAACAATAAAACAAAAAGCTGAACAGAAAAACAAAGATAATACTATATTTGCACGTAACTTTTAATATATTACTCTTCATGGTGTCCCAAATAAAATTATATATATTTTTTTCTTAAAAAAAAAGTTTTATCTGCTTCATATAAGCTTGTATTTGACTACGTGTTACTTGTAGAAGAGTTTTCCTACTTGTGTTTAGTACTTAGTATTTGTAATAAATTGTACATTCATATAATTTAAGTATATACTAGAGTAACAAGTTTGTTCAATAAAAAAGTCTAATCATCAGTAGGCAATTAAGCATATTAATGTTTTTTTTAATGTGGTGGTGTATTTATTGTGGTGGTGTTCTTTTAATGTGGGTGGTGTTAATGTTTTTTAATGTGGTAAAATGAAATTGAAAACGTTGAAAAGGACGTTGTAACACTTTATACTATCTTAAAGTAATTAAAAATAAAATTCAAAATACTGTTAAAAGAAACGTTTTATAAACATTTTTTAAGTATTTTTCAAACATTTTATGTTAGGGATCGTCCATAAATTACGCAACACAAAAAATGTTTCAAGAACAAAAGTAGGAGATATTAAGCTCTTTTACGCGGCGATTTTCATTTAACTTAATTTCCTATTTTGATTATTTATTTAAATTAAGACTCTGCGAGGGAAAACTTTTCACCTTTTTTTGTTTTGTTTATTGTGAAATTTTAGGACCTTTATAAAACATTTAATGTCTTCACGGATGAGAACGTAAAAATATAAAAAAGAGCGGTTTTTTTCTTTTTTTTTCAACAAAAATTGAAAATTTTGTTGAAAAAAAAAGAAAAAAACCGCTTTTTTTTGCTTTTTTGTTGAAAAAAAATTTTCTTTTTTTTTCAACAAAAAAGCCTGGTTTTTATTTCCTTATGAAAAGTAACTTTTTATTAATAATTTATATTAATATTTTATCAGCAATTTTGTATTAATAATTTTACTACTTTAAATGTATTAAAATAAACTCGTTTTTTATTAAATTCTTTCTCTAATCGTTATTTCAAGCTAATAGAAAACAGTAACTTTTCGTTTTAACGATCGCTTTATCGATTGCTTTAAATTAATTTTAAGTGCAGGATAACCTCTAACACGATATTTCTTTTAACATGAATTGTTCACTATATATATTATTAGCTTAGCACCTCTTCACTCTACCAACTTTCTTTTTGTTATTCTCCTTCCCAAGACGGCACTCTTTTTGACAAAACTTCTGATCAAATTGACCATGCCCTCCTTCTGCCTATATGGTTGCTATGAGAGACTTTAATGCTCATCACACTGAATGAATTAGCTCTAAAACCACTGAGCCTGCTGGCAATAAAGCCCATAACTTCTGCATTTCTCAATCTCTTACTCAGAAAATTAACTTTGTAACTCGTTTTCCTGTCAACTCTAAACACTTCTCTGAACCTAATTCGTGTTCAGCTTCTTATTTTTTTTCCCTTAGGCGGTTCTGACCATGCAAAGATATCTGTAAATTTTTTATTTCTTCGGACTCACTCTATCATTGCACTACTTATGACTACCCTAAAGCTGACCACGGCGATCTGTTTTCCGATATTTAACAGTAGTTAGTGGAAGTGCATTTCTGATTTTTTGCGCTTTTTTTTTTCATTTCTGTTTACTAAAAAAAAAAAAAAACTTTTTATTTTATTTTAATTTGGTTTCCTGTTTTATTTTTTGTAACAATTAGTGTACGTTGCAGCTGAAAAAAGAATGTCAATATCATCTTTTTACTTCGAATTATAGAACATTAAAGTTGTGTATCCGCTCGGGATATTCTTGTATCCGCTCGGGATATTTTATTTTCATGCTTTATATTTGATGGTACTTCTGAATATATTTTGCTGTTTCTAGCCAAAAAAAATTAATTTAACTCCTTAAGTTTAGAGAAAATCAAAAATTTACATTACTAAGCACTAAAATTTATAATTTATTATCACATTCATATTTTTGAAATAAAATAATTGTTTTTGTCATATTTCTGTTCTGTGTTATACCGCGTTAAAAGCGAGAAAAGTTTTTACTACCTTAAATACTTTACTATCGTAAATACTAAAAATAAAAAGGTTTATTTTAACGTATATCTTTTGAACTCTTGATTTTAAACTTATTTCACTATTTAAACATGGAATGGATAGGAATATTAAACTTTGGTGAAAAAGTTGACTGTGATGCATAGGATACATAACCATTTAATGGGTATTCAGCAAAAAGAAAGTTTGTGTCGAATTCGGGAGAAGAATCATTTATAATTTTAAATGTTAACAAATCATTAAATGGAAAACCTTTATATGAAGGAATAGTTATGCGTGATAATAATATACAAAAAAGATATATCTGCACTAATCCAACATCAGTTTATCGTAAGGTTTATTGCTTTTTTGGTGTAAAAACAAAATGTAGACTCAATGGAAAACGATTTTATGGATTAGACTCTAAAGGTTTCAAGTTTCGTTTAAGTTTATCCGGATATGAAGATTGTAGAAAACAATATCAATCCCTTATATCTAATGTATCATCCCCCACAAACACAAGATTGTGCTCATGGTTAGGTGTTGTAAGTTATGGTACTCCGATAAATTGTGACAGTTTGTTTTACATAAAAACAATTGGATCAGTTAAATGTCGTATTCAACCAGGGTATGAAGCACAAAGGTTATTAAGGCTGAATGATGTTAATGTGGTTATAACAATGAAGATTGATAAATCAGATGATGGTCCTGTTTACCGAATTATTGTTTCTGACTTATTAATTGATTGCAAGTCATTGCATTCCTCTTCTGTTGTTAAAGATGCTTTTAGAAAATTAAAGTATATTAGTTCTAAAAACTGGTCTGGTTTTCAGTTTTTTGGCTTGGATAGAAGTGAAGTAATCAATAAAATATCTTGTCCAATAATAAAATTTGATACACCATCTTTTGATAACATTAAACAAAACAACAACAGTGTAATAGTTGATTTACTGAATATAAGAAAATGTGGTGCTGAAAAAACTAGTTCGCTTCTCAGTAAAAAAGCTATAAAATCTCGGAATAAGACAATTCATTCATTAGTAGAGTTAGCAAGCTATGGTGATGTAAAAAGTAAGTAGTTCTAATGTTCTATATTTTATTTTGATTTATTTATTGAATCTATAAAATTTAAATCACTTTTTTAGGTTTTGTGAGCTACATAATAAATGAGTGTCCAGAAATTGTTGAAGAAGTTATAGATGAAAATACTGATTTCTTAGTTCATATTGTTGAAAGGCTTAGGTTTATAACATCTGTTAAAAATCTTGATTGTCAACAAACTGCTTCAATAATGATGGATAAAATTGAAATTTCACAGAGATCTTATAAAGTTTTAAAAGGTATTCTCAAGAAAAATAATATAAACATTCCTACATATGACAACCTTAGAAAATACTGTCTTAATATAGATGTAGGTCTAATTCAACATGCTCATGTTGTTGTCTAACAACAACAAGCGATAAGAGATTTCTTAATTCTGAGGAATAATACTCTTTATGAAAAGTTTGACATAAATAGCAAAACTTTAATTCTTTAAAACTGAACACTTTATAGTGATTTTATATCTAGTTGCAGATTTTAGTTTTGTTAACGAAGTTATTAATAAATGCTCCAGTAATCAAACATATGGTTGCAATCATTGCAAGTTGCTAATTTATGACTGGACCACTGTAAATAAAAAGATTGGTCCTATTCAATTGGTTGTTGATATACAAGAACGTGGGGAACATGCAAGGATTGAGCTAGGCCCTAGACCAAACAAAGATTCAGCACATTATAAGAAGTTTACTGCTGACAACTATGGACAATGGGTAAAAAAAGAATTTATTATTTTAATTTTATGTTTATAACAAGAATCTTATAATAACACACTTAGATACTTCTGAAATATGAAAATTATAAAAAGTGTTCTAAAACATTATTATTTCAGGGAACAGTGTTAATTGAAGGATTATTGATTTCATGCCACCATGTGGCTTGCATTTAATTTTGGCACAACATAGATATCTTTGGAAATTTTTATTTGATGTAGTAAGTAAGCGTTCACAAGAAAACCTTTTGTCTGAAGGATTGAGAAAGATTGGGTGTTCCTATTTAGCATTTCAACTTGATTGTTATTTGAAAAGGTAAATATATCATTATTGATTTATGTGTGATATAATGTGTAGATATTATTTTATTTTTAGTCATTATTTTATAATTTTTTTAAATTTGAGTACAGAAATTATAAAATATTTAGTTAATTGTAAACAGTTCCAGTTATTGATAAGTGGGAGTCTTAAGAAGTGCTACATGTTTTCTTGTTTTACCTATGCTGAAATTTAGCACAATATACTATATAAATATATTATTTAATTAATAGTGTATATAATAAAATATTATTAGTTACTTAGTTCAATGGACAAAATCAAAATGGTTTTCATAATCATTCAATCTAATACTGCACATAACTATTTTTAGCAAAAAGAAACATTATGATGGAACACAGAATTTGAGAATGATTGGAAATGATTGCAAAATCTTAGAAGCAAATATAGATACTTTCCTTACTGTTTTTGTTGAGAATCAAAGTGTTTCATGGCAGTCTCAAAAAAGTCAAAAATTAAGACATATCCTTCAACTTTACTATGCATGGGCTGATTTGGCTCAGTACATTTTTTATTTTAATTTTTTTAATTTTATAGTTATTAGTAATAAGTAACTTTAGTAAATTGATTAAGTTGACTTAATGCTGGAAATACCAATAATATTCTTTAGTTAAAACTATTATTTTCTTATATACATATATTAACATGCAGTATATCAACTTTTACAGGGATGTTCGTTCCGTTCACCATGATCCTGATCGAATAAAATCCTTCAATGTTCGAGCAGAGGCATATTTTCAGCTATTTCTACATAATGCTGGAACAAATAAAATTTCGAAAATGCCATATATGCATTATTTGAGAAATCATCTTGGTATATTAATGGAAACATATTCCAAGTTATTTAATTGGGGGTATGGATACTTTAATGCTAATGCAGGAGAACATTTAAATAAGCAAGTAAAGTATTATGAGATTTCACATCCTAATCTTTGCAAAAATCGATTCTATACAATTATTCATTTGATGAGATGCAAGCTATTTTGTTATACAGAAAATATTCTTCCTTCTTCAATAGTTGTTAAATGTTTAAAATGTCAACAGGAAGGACACAATAAGAAAAACAAAATTTGTCCCTTGCATGAAAGTCATTCTGAAATTGTATTTGAAAATAGTAAAAATGAAGATGAAGATTGAAATGAATAAATGTTTTTTTTTTATTTACAGTTAATGAATGAATTTAGATATGAATGAATATACGCTACATATGCGGTAGTGGTGTAGTGGTAGAGCGCTCGCTTCATAAACGAGTGGTTCCGAGTTCGATCCCCACCACGTCCCTGGTAGTACCGCGCTCAACTCGTTTCTCCGCGCAGCGGCCTTGCTCGTCAAGGTTCGTGTTTTGGAGTTATAGAGTTGAGAGAGGGTTATAACCACAAATAAGTAGCCTCCTCGTCTGTAGTGGCCTTCTCGGCCTTGAGGAGGTGAATTAAAATAAAAAATAAAAAAAATATGTCTTTATGCAATAAATAATAAATATCATAACGTAATAAGTAGTATATGTCATAATGTGAATATATGGTATGAATTAATCTATTATATATATTATATACTTTTTTAAATTGTGGTTACAATGTGGAACAAGTTATCACTCAATAATATATATATTATTAATTAATAACTTGTTCTAAAATATAGAATATGTGGAATTGCCTGAAACCTTTTATAACAATACCAAAACACATTTGTAGGTACAAAAGGTGTTTTTCAATAAATTCAACTTTTTTTATATATATATAATTTCTAGTTAAAAGTCTGATCTGCACAAAAAAAATTTTGATTGCGCTGCAAGGAACATCGAAAAGCGAGTAAAAAAGAAAATAAAGAATAACAATACATTAAAATCTGATATGGCTACTCCTCATCACAGAAAAGTAACTTTATCGCATGTCCCTAAACTTTCATTTACGTGGGTGTACGGTAGACAATTCGATGCACCCACGAAAAAATGTAAAGGTAATACTAAAGATTCAACTGCTATTTTTTGTCTTAAATCTTTAAAGCGTGTTGTCACAATTTTGAGTACAGACGCAATTTCAAAAGTTCATAAATCAAACGATGTTTCACTTATTACTCCTTGGTATAATTTGTTGAATTCAAAAATTATTTTATTTGATGATAACAAACATTATTTTTTCGAAAGTTGCACTCTCGTACTACTGATATATACAGAATGTGGCGAAACAATGGTAGTTTTTTTTGTGTGTGGCGGCCTTGACGAAGATAACAATGTTCCAGAATGGACAAACGAAATTTATCCTTACAACCTCCAACTCAGCATTACACCTCACTTATATATACATAAAAGAGGCATTGGAGTTGTCAGTCTGGATTTAAACAAAGATTTTGTATCTGTTCAAAAAGACCAAAATTTTCAAGATGTCGATTTTCTTAAGGTACGTGGCATTTATTATGAAATAAGAGATGTCACGTCGTGTTCAGATTTTGATGTAATTTATTTTAAAACAATAGTTACAAAAGCAGGAAACAACTGTAAATATGAAATTGTTAAGTCTCCAACCTTCCGTGGCAATATAGCGCATGTGGAAAAGTCTCATTTTAACTTGTACCGTGGTGTTACTCTACAATTGAATAAAATTGATGCTGATGAATATAGTGAGCTAGATATTTCATTCCAAAACGCGTGTTTTAACTGCCTTGGTTTTTTATTTCACGAAGTTTGTATATAATATTTCGAAATATGATGGAAAATGAGATTTGGAAAAAAACAAAGACGTTATTTTTTTTTTAAAGAAAAGAAATTTTACAAAAATTACTTAATAAGTTATTATAAAAATTAACTCTTTTAATTTTTTTAGCATAAAAGCTGATGATAAATGATTAATTAGCAAACGTTTAGCAAATGATTAATTAGCAAAAATTAATTCAACGCATTGAATTAATGCATTGCACAAAAATATTATTTTTTAAAATGTGAGTAATTTGCCGAACATGCAATAAAAACAATTCAAACTTCGAGTTTTTCCAACCGTAGATCGCCGTGGACTGGGATTCTTTTCGTGATTTTTTTTCCTAATGGTCCTTGGGCTGATGTTTTTTCTCGTTCAGCTGATAAATGCGCCTTCTACGTAACCTCCTGGATTCTGGAATAATGGAAGCTTTTATTCATTCTAGTCTTCTACTCCATAGTTTCCATCCCTTGTGCAGCTGTAATATCTAATCGTAATCATTTGTTTCATCTTTTTCAAAAGAACAACTCTCTTAAAAACAAAAGGCTATTTATTATTGCAAGAAATTGATGGAGAAAGGTGCTGTCTGATGCTAAGGTCCATTATTCTCAGTTCACTAAATCTTGTATCTCTTCTTAAAAGTCAGGCTCTAGAGACTTTTGGGAAATCTTCAACAGCGTCATTAACAAGGGTCTAACACTTTATTTCTCTGATCTTATCTGATCTCCCAAGAACTTTTTGTTAAGAACTTTCCTTTTAACTCGACTCTTGAATCTTATGGCCATTTTCTTCCTTCCATTTCAATTAAACAGATTAACCCATAGTTAGACATTAAAATTACTCTAGCTTCTGTTGCTAAAGTCATATCTCAATAAAACTCTTCTATGGCTTGTGGTCCAGACAAAATTCCTTTCATAGTAAAATTGTTTTCTGAACCTTGAGGGACTAGGGTCTTTGAAGGTTCTATCCTTGGTCCTGCTTTGTTTCTTATCTACATTAATGATTTTTCTGACAACCTTTCATTTTAATTGGCTCTCTTTGCTGACACAACTTTTTACAAGAACCGGAAAGCATGCGTAGTATAAGTTTTTAAGTGAAGCATGCGTAGTATAAGTTTTAATTTTTCTGAAGAAAAACTACGCTTTGATCAACGCTGCCCATTTTGTTGTTAGCTTTACAATCATCCGCAAGATTTATTTACAATTTGAATTTTTGTCAACGTGTTTTGAGTTCATTAATCAACTGTTATTAGCTTTACAATTATCCAAAAGATTTATTTTAAAATTTGAATCATTGTCGACGTGTTTTAAGTTCGTTTTGGAAGGTTTACGTACTCGTCATCAATTGTTAGATCTTCTTCTTTTTTTGTCTTTTATTTTCTTATGTCCGCTTACTTTCTTAGCCATTAAACCATTATGCAGTGCCACTATACTTCTTTTCAACCACCTTGTGTACGCAGCGTCATATGCTTTGGGTTTATAAACACTTTATCGCCAATTTTTCATCCTTAAGACTTAAATTTTTTTTTTTTTTTTTTTTTTTTTTTTGATTTTAGTGAAATATTGTAAGAAATTTTAGCAGTAATCCAAAAAAAAATATCTAAGCTCAAAAACGTAAACTTTTCAAGTCTTTTAAGTTTCTATGGTTGTTTATTTTGAGATCTCTATATAAAGTTCGCAACTAGAATATTTGAAAAAGTATTAATGTAATAGTTATACTATTTTAAGGGGCTGTTCAAATAACGCGTGATTTTTTTTGACAATTTTATAAACCCTCCTCCCCTATGTGACATTTTGTAGCATTTTGAATAACCCCTACCCTCTCCCTGTGTGACGTGACAAATACAAAAAAAAAATTGTATATTTTAATTGTAATAGTTTTTGTTTTTTTTAAATACAATTTATGAATACCTAAATTTGTTCCCAATTCGGACTTTGACCTTTAAGTATTGGAGCTCCATGTTCTTCAATAATTTTTGAAGGTCAGTTGAGGTCAGAGGTATAAACATTGTCCTGATTATACCATACAATTGTTTCTTTGACCGAATTTAAAAAGACACACATGAGTTCAGATAGACGTTGAGCAACTAGGCGATAAGGTCTAACTTTTTGAATCTCATTCGAATACCCAATACTCGAGCAAATTGTTTTGTGTTGTTTCATTGATTTAATAGCAAAATATAAACTGCAATTGATACAAATTCTTTTTTTTAAGGAGTTATGAATGCTTGGACATGACCAGTCGTATGGCCATTCATTGGGAATTTTTTGTAACTGTCATGAACAAAAATGTTTTGCAAAGTGATAAAAAGAGGGATGAAAAGTTGTTTTTTGTATTATTGCATTTAAGACACTCTTCTCCTTGGAACAAAGAAATTAGTGGTAGAAGAAAACCAGTTGAAATAAGATGAAACAGTGAGCTGCGACAATAACCACGGCAGTTTTTATCATTGTGTTTTACAATTTGAAAGAAGTATTGACTTTCTCTGACATGTTTAGCACCCCATTTGTGACCGAATTTGTGCAAGAACTTCACCTGCTTTTGCAAAATTTGCCTTCTCCATAACGTTGTCTGTTGTTTCTCCTCTTGAATTAAGATGGGTTGCGATATGATAAATGGAAGTATAATTCTTGCTAGGTCATGGCTTGGCGGAACCATTCTTCTCTCAACCCTGACTAATGTTCCTGGCACTTCTGCCAAGAGCATTAGTGGCCACAAACATTTTATCAAGGTCATGCTCTTTTGGTCTTGTCACAATGAATTTTAATGAACCTTTGCTTTAAAAAAGTAAATAAAAAGAAATTAAATAAAATGGCTGTAAAAAATAATAAAATATTATTTTAGTACATTCAAAAAATAATTCTTTAAAGAGTGCAACCTGTTCCATGTTCTGCTGCCTTGCAGGATTTGCTTTCCAAGCAAAGGCTGGAAGGAGTGTTCTTCCTGTCATCAGTACTATTTTATATCAGTCATGGCTGTAGTAACTTTTTTTTTTTTTTTTTTTTTCCTCATATAGTTGGAGGTGTCTTAGTTACTGTATTAGCTCACCTGTAATCTACGTTATACGTATGTCTGTGTTCTGTCTGAACCTCTGGCGCAGTGTTCGCTCACCCGTAAGTT